TCAAGATCTGAGGAGAAGCTCCATGGTGGACGTTGTAGGCGGCCGCCCATAGAAGGAGATTGTTGGCGGCAGCCTCGTCGGAGTAGACCGTGCCGACCGGGAGCTCGAAGTACCATGTCGTCGGGGCGTCACCAGGAAGCACTTTTCCGTCAGCAGCAGGTGCATCCGCGCGTTCGTGGCGGGGAGAAGCATCCGCACGCCCAAGTCCACCAGGCATTTCAACCTGCTCTGAGTCAGCGCGTCGCCGCAAGGGAGCCCTGGAGTCTGAGCGACTTGTTGAGCGCCGCCGCCGCCGCGGGGCTGCAACGCCCCCATGAAGATGTCGAGCCATTTCGTCATGCGATCGCGACATGGGAGTGAGGCAAGATCAAAAACGATCCAGGGGGGCACTTGAGCACAAAGTGCCACCGATGGGAATGGTTGAAGAGACATGTGTTGAGCTCGATGCTGCAGTAAAAGTTTTGCTCCAACACACAAGCTGTGTTGACTACATAAACGGTGTTCCCCCTAAATATTCTTTGACCATGCCCAATCCCTATGGACCCAGTCCAGAGGCGGAAAAACAAAATCTTCAAAAAAAAGGTCCTAAATAGACCTAAGAGATCCTTAAGTACAAAAAGCGAATCACAAATAGGTTTGCCCTTCGTAAAGTCGTATTATTGACACAAAGCACTGTCTCCAACAAAGCGAATCATCTGGGTCACTTCCTGGGAATGCATTCCAATATAAAAACAAATCAAAAGTACAAATGCCCCTTTTAAAGACTGCTACCAAGCTTGCCACCGTCCTGGAATTTGACTGCAATACAAAACCAACTCAAAAGTAGTTTTGTCAGAAATCCTGGAACCGGACAGTACAGTAGTACAAAGCAATTCTAAAGAAGCATTGCTAAACTGCATGAGCTCCAACTCCAAGACATGTCACTTTGAATGCTAGACAATTGAAAACAATCGTTCATCTTTATTTAGGGGAGTTGAGGCGGGGGGGCAGAGGCGGGCCCCCCTTTTATTAATCAGAGGTGGACATCACTGCATGCAAAATCACACCTGGATCGAACAAATATCTAAGATGAGCTACTTCCAAGCAATGCTTGGCACCTTGCATATATCCAGGTCTGATTAGATTGAAATTCATGGCGTAACGAACAGGGCACTTGAGCCAGGGGGCCACACACTATGCAGCACTGCCCCTTGGCAAAAGTTGCTGTCCGACTGTCGTTGCATGTGATGCAAAAAAACGAGGCGAATTGTGAATTCATTCGTGCACTGCAGCTCCGGCTTCGCTTCACTAGTTTAGCAAAAGCAGAAGTCGGGTCTGCTGCTGTTTGACGTGTCAGAGATGCGGACTTCTTGCCAGCGAGTTTCAACAGCAAATGCTGGCAACTCTCCGGCAAGAAACATGCTCCGGCGCCTGTTTGGGATGCCAGAACTGCAACTGCGTTAAAAAGAACACATTCCGCTCATGCTCTATTTCTGTCTCTGACTTCCACGCTCATCAGGCAGCGGCTTGCGTTCCTGTGGCCACTTTGGCATGGCTAAGGGTTGCAAGTCCGTCGCCGGCATCATGGCCCTCGCTTTCTGTAAGGCGATGGCACCCGCTCGCATGGCCTGCATGACCTGCTTGGAGCCCGGAGATGCAGACACAAATCCCGCTGGCGAGCTCGCTGGCGAGCGCCAGGGCGGCACCCCGTGGCTCACAGCCGACGCGTGCTCCGATGTGTTGCCAAAGTGCCCCACCTGGCCAGCCAAGTGTGGACTGTCGGGGCTCGGCTCCTCAGTCTCCACAGCTGCGGAGGAGACATAGGGCTTCAGGTCCGGGTTCCGGATCCGGCGCAGGCGAGGTCCGCACCACTTCTTCAGGTTTGCCGCCAAGCCCTTCCAGGGTCCACTCAAGAGGCAGGCTTCTTTTCAGGGAGTGCCTGAAAACATTCCATGGGCTGAAAAAGAATTATCCCTGTCCTGCACGTCAGCGCTCACGATGACAAGCTGCTGGCCGGCCAATGCCGAAGAAGCCGGAAAGCTCCGCCGATTCCAGGAGTGGCGGAACATGTTGGCCGTCTCTGACGATGTAAAGTTGACAAAGGCATAGCCTTGGAGCCGAACGCTGGTATACCTCCTTGTGGGCTTTTGCTCACTCAACGCACCCTTCACAGTAAGTAAATCACAATTTGTCTATCCGTTGGTGGGCCCATATTGCATATATGTTGCTATCTAGAGAGACTGAGGACGCGGCCCTTGTTTCCCACGCACTTGAAGTCTCGCGGTAAGTAACAAAAGTCGTAGAGACCCGCGAGCCCAAACTTGTTGAGTTCATCCAACAGGTCCCGCTGCGTCAGTTGCTCAGGCAGGCTCCGAATCATCATGGTGGTATTCTCGGTATTCTTGGCAGGGCTCAAGCTGAAGTGCGATGGCCCAAAGTGAGCACACCAAACGCCACCCCATACGCCACCAAGATTTGTCGGGGTGCCTCTTCATACCATGTTCAAACAACAATTACGAGCAATCTCAAGACGAGCTAGATGTTGTGTATCTGCTCTGGTGACGTTTGTGGAGGCTCAAATGACAGCTTCCCACTAGTTCTTCCAAGAATCCAGAGCCTTTGGCGAGCCTTCCAGCCGACTGGAGCGGGAAGCCTCATGCGAAGAGACATGAAATTGCTTTGCCCCTGGCTCATGAGCAGAATAATCGCTCTCTGTCGTGTGAAATAAAATGCTGATATCAAAGACGAAAGCGGCACAGCCCATATCTGTACCGCTTGCCAGCGGCTGACAGAGTCTTCATAGCAACAACAATTGGTGAGTTGTCAGTATGCACCTTCTGGTCTCTCCCAAAGCAGAACTATTTGGAAAAAAAGCTCAGTCGGGTGACTCTGGATTTACAAGTCGAATATCCATTCTCATCATCTGACGCGTCCTTGGCGGCACGAGTCGAGCAGTCTGATTGCGCGTTGAACATGTGTGCAATGAATGATTGAAGAACCCTTAATTGCCCAGCAGGAAAGGACTGCTCATCAATCTCAAGTTGCTTCAACGATCATCAGAACCAAGCAATTGCTGCTCTTCTTTGAGAAGAAAATAACAGGCCCAAACACCATTCAATTTGCTTGGCACAGTGCGAAAGCCATCCTATTTGTTCCATGATCCGCATCACAAAAGTGAGTGACCTACTTGTAGCGCAATTTTCCGCTGCACTTGTATGCCATGCCTTCCAAGCCACTGAAAAGCGTGGGCCAGCCGCGATCGGCGTGGAAGACACTGGTGATGCACGAGCAGTTGTCATGCCTGGTGACCTTGAACAACAGCCGGCACGTTGGTGCGCGTGTGTGTGTGTGTAGGAGTCAAAATTTGGGCTCCATGTGGTTGGATTCTGCAGGCTTCCCTTGAAACTTCAAAGACAAACCATCCAAAAGACAGCCGGTCCAGAACGGCCGGCAGAGGAATGCATGAACCGTGCCGCCTGCAATCAACCCCTCGCTTGCTTGCATCCTTGCAAGGCTTCAAAATCGCCTTGTCTAGCCCATAGCATGCAAAGATTTGCCTGTGATCCATGTCGTGTGGACACTAGGCACACTCCCTGAGTTGCGAGTAGAGTGGCATTTGTGTGGACTGCGGATTGGTGGCCAGGTCGGCGTATCCGACATCTCGATGTGGAATGGGCAGCCTCAGTGTGGCTTGCCAGCAAGCCCAGCTGCGAACACAGCCATCGTGATCGGCATTGCTCGTTGCTGACCATTTGGCCAGTTGGGTACATACAACCCTCTAGTAACAAACCGCTGTCTCTTAACCTGTCGCGATGCTTTCGCAGCCACACGGTTCACTTCCGCGGGCATCTGTTTTGTAATGATCGCTTTCGCGGAGCTTTCGCGGGCAACACAGAAACTGCCAAACACTTTCGCGACGCTTTCGCGGCGGGCTCTTCTTCAACCACTTTCGCCGCAAGCTTTCGCGGGCTTTCGCGCCCCGCGTTTTAGCTTCTGCATGGCTTCGTTAGGAGAGGCCCTCAAGTAACTCCTTTCATAAGGCTTGTTGGCGCTGCCCAACTGTCATTCTCTTGCTGTGACAAGCGGCATGCAGCCAGAACACTTTGCTCGAGCCATGGGCAAAGCGGCTTCTAGGCTCACCCGGACCTGTTCAAGGCACACACGTTTGAGCGCAATGGGTTGGCCAAGGGAACCGTCATGACATCTTCCTGAAGCAAAAGCGCGTGCAGTCCTGAAGCTTTCTGGCATCAGCATCCTCGATGGATCCACTGCGTTGAACCTGAGGATCTGCAATGGCAAATGCTGAAGTGCAGGCTCAATAGACGAGAATGCGCAGTCAATTGAATGCATGAAAGGCGCATCGCTTGATTTCAAATAGCCTGTCATCTCGCAGGTTCCAGGTGAGCCTGCACTTCCCGCATTGACAGGTTCCCTCACAAGCTCCCAAAGAACGGCGGCCACTAATCTCACTGATCAGCCGTGCGGCTGGCGGAAGCTGCATGAATCATCCCTGCGGAGTAGGATCTGACTGATTCCTTTCTGTCCTGAGCCCGTCAGAATCAACACCGCAAGCGAGCATTATGAGCGTCTATTCTAAACTTCCATGTTCATCCAGCGAGGCACCTGCCAGAGCTCTTCGTCATCGGTGTCTGGCCAAACGGTTGCGGCCTCTTCAGGCTCCTCATAGCTCAGCTCGTAGGGCACGTAACCTGAAAAGCTCCTCGAGCGCCGGATCTGCACAGGCGACCATTCATCGTCGCCCTTGCAAACAAAGACGAGTGGGAGAGGTGGGAGACGAGGCTCGTAGACCGTCATGGCTCCCGCCGGAAATGTATCGAGCCAAAGAACTGCAAGCGTGCGCTGGCAAAGACGCATGTGGGTATGGGTCAAAATTAAACCACCAGAAAACCGCAGGTTGCAGTCCATGACTCCATTTACCGGGTTCCATTTTGGTACCGGTTGTTTGATCCACAGCCATGCGCACATGCAAGCACCAAGCAAAGCAACCCGGGCAGCATCACTGAGCCATTGTAGGCCAAAACAGTGCCGATCTCTTTGGCAACGGTGGCTACGCCTTGGCAAGCATGTGAAGAAGCCAACATGCTGTGATACTGTGGACGAAATCGTGAAGAAGCCAATCTGCTGTGATACTGTGGATGGACGAAATCCTGCTACTTACACGGGAATCATCACCTTACTGACAAGCGTGTTTGAGCTAATATGCTGTGATATGGCTGGATTCACGAAATCCTGAACCACTTTGAAACCATGAGAAACCATTGTTTGTTGGTATTTACAGGGGAATCGTCATTCCAGGGTTTCTTAGGTGGTGCTGGTTTTCGTCCATCCACAGTATGGCTGGACGCGTGGTCTCAGTCCAGCACCCAAGCAAATGGCTGAGAGGCTGGTAGCAACCATCACTCGCGACACGGGCTTTACAGCCTCATGGCAAGAGTGAGATAGGCGGCCACTGCTATCGCTCCGAGGCCAAGGCACAGCCCAGCGGCAACAGAAACAAATTGAAAGCGGCCGCCCTGGCACAAATCCGAATCTCGCAGACCCGCGATCCGATGCCAACCCTGGCTCACTCCTTCGTGACAAGAAATCTCGAGACGCCACCAAACTCCACAAAGTGCACAAACACCGAAGATAGCAACCCCTTTGCTTGTATAAGCTCTCAAAAACCAACAGCCGGAGCTGGCTTCTTCACTGGCCAAAACTACACTAGCTCAGCTTTCGATGACGCGTCTGGCCTTGCAGACATCATCATGAGCGCAAAGGAGCTACATATCCTGGCGCACTTTGCTCAACGTTCTTATGCTGTGGTTCCAACAACTCGAGGGCAAGAAGAGTAAGCCCCAAGTTCAGACTCCCACGCACATGTCATCGTCAAGCGTAGGACAACCTGGCAATTGCGAGTTCAACACAGTGTCTCTGGGCCAATTGACTCATCCAAAGCTGTGTGAAATGCATCAGAATTGTTTGGCTGAGTGTCTTGAGTTCAGAGACCTTGTAAATCGCCGCTTTAGTACTGGCCTAATCTAAATTTAGTATTGGCAATTTTTTGGGGATCCCCGAAAAGAAAAAACAACTCCAGTTGTGGGAGGATTGATTCATCAAAAGCTGCGATTCAGCCGCGCTGCCAGAAGCTGGTCATCTGCGCGGAAGTTCTCGGAGAAGTCGCTTTTGGTCTTAGGACCTGACGGGCGTTTGACTGGACTGGCCCGGGTCCGCCGTCCGAGACCATGGCCGAATGTGGCATAGACAACGATGCCGACCCCTGAGCAGGCAGGAAGCTCTTTCCGACCATCGGAACTCAACCAGGTCCAGACAGCCATAGATGACGCTGGAAATGGACAAGGAGTAGCAAATGACCTTGGCCCGTGATTTCGCAACTCAGTTCACGAAGGGCCATGGGTCAAAATCCCGCACCCCCAGTGAACATCCCAATCCCCACTAAAATGGACTAAAATGGGTGGTGCACCTACCCCAAAATGGTACCATTGGTTTGGACCCACAGCCAGTTGTGCTGCATGTTGCAGGCTGGCAGCTCGCATCATCTTCCAGAAGTCAGCCTGCCCTTCCTCCGAGCAACACATCATGGGATGTTGGTGGCCTGTGTCGCTGAGCACCCCTCACCGATGGTCAGCTGCTTATATTTCTTGAATACAAGTCGCTCTTCTGCTACCCGAGTTCCAAAATGAGGCTGTGAAAAAAATCCCAGGGTTGCCCACAAACGGCGTCAAGCAGACCACGAAAAAAACTTTAGACGTCCTTCCATCCCGCCCGGCCTGGGTCCTGCCCCAGTTTGGCGTTGCCGCGCCGGGGGCCAGCTCTTTGTACAGCAGCGGAATGTTGGTGTGAGCACCAAAGGCGCCTCATGCAAAGTCGCTGGGCTGTTTTCCCTTGGAAACTGGACAGCTTCTGGTCGATAGAACAAAGTAGGTAAGGGAAGTCAGCAAAACAGATCCGTATCTTCAAAAAAATAAAGGTTCTGAGGGTGTGCCTCATGGCCTTCAAAGCCAAACCGAGCATTTTGTGTCTTCCAACAGATCAAGCTACCAAGCTGGGTTTTTCCCCTTCAAAACTGGGCCGCGTGCCTCATGGCCTAAGCCAAACCCAGCATACCCGTGTCTTCAAGTAGATCCCTGGCCAAGCCGCCAACCAGGATGGGAAAGCAATTTCCAAAGCTTGCCGACTCGAAGGCGGACAGCTTGGGAGGTCCTGTCAAGCTAAAGGTGACTCAACACCCCTCACGTCGGAACATATGGTAAAGGGTCAAAATTTAAATCGTGCCCCCAGTGAACATCCCAATCCAACCACTAAAATAAGTTCTAAATGGGTGGTGTACCTACCCCAAAATGGTACCAATGGTTTTGAGCCACAGCCATATGCTCGCCTGCCGCATCGAAGTAAGATCCGTCGAAGAATCGCAGCCCAGCAGCCACTGCGGCAAACAAAATACTGGCCAGCCCCACCAAGCTCATCCACCTGACCCCATAGTGTGGCAGGAAACCTGTTTTTTTGCCCTCTCCTCAATAAATAGATGCACTGAGTTGAGTTGTGTTGCTTGGCGTGGCTCCCTTCAAGACAATGCCAATTGTCATCCTTCCTCTTTCGCGGGGACATTAAATGCAGCCCCAGCCCAGACTTCGGCCACTTTCGTGCCTGAGAAAGCCCAGGGATGGAGCGCAGGAGAGCGGCCAGCAAATACAGACCACGAGAGTAGCCATACATCCGCTCTTGGAGGCGTGGTGAAAGCCGAATTGCTCAGCCAGGGCAAACGCAAAGTCTCCAAGGAGAATAACATAACCTTACATCGGAGTGCACCGTCAGAAACCCTAGAATGATATTCGATTCCCCCGCAAATACCAACAAACAACGGTGTCAACCATGGTTTCAACCACGGTTTCAACCATGGTTTCAACCATGGCTTCAATTTGGTGCAAAATGGATTTCGTCCATCCACAGTATGCAAACCTTGCCAACCAAGAGCCATGGCCTTCTTCTTGTCCAAGCTTGTGCCAATGTTTGCTGAGGCCGTGGACTCAGACAATGCGAAAAGGTTTTTGCTGAGTCGGCCAGGGTGCTGATGCAAAGTCCAAGGTTGCAGCACAGAACCCAAATCCTCGGCAATGCATGCATGATAAGTGCATTTTGCCAGCACAGAGCTAAATGCACTGCTTGCGCTGGACCCAAAAAGATCAGGCTTGCCAATACGCAGCTTGCTGGTTCCCCAGGTTCATTCCCTCATTCCCTTGTCGAACACCAGCAAGCCAATGGCTTCGTGTGAGTCGCTTCCCCAGAATCCATACTGTGGATGGTTGTGAAATCCGTTCGCACCGCTTGGAAACCATGGGAAACCCTTGATTGTTGGTATTTGCAGAAGAATCATCATTCCAGGGTTTCTGAGGTGGTGCAGGATTTCGTCCATCCACAGTACGTCGCTTCCCCGTGAAGAGACAAGCAGAAGGCAGGCGGCTCAGCCCACATGGCTGTGCGGGGTCCGGCTGTGCGGCTGGCTGCGCCATGATAGCCTCAAACCCATAGGTGTCCTTTTTGGTTGACAATTTGGATTTTCCTGGTAGTTGAGAGAGAACCACCAGGTAAACCAGGGCCATGTTTCAACCAAATCAACCAAAAAGGACACCTATGCTCAAACCAACGGCATCTTTGGCCTTGCCGTGAGGTCGGAGAATTGGCGATGGACACCAACACACAAGCGGGTGGCTCGTCTTTTTGGGAGTTGGCACTTGTTTGGGTTTTACGGGGAGCAAGCATCATTTTGGCATACGAGAGAACTCCTCGCAATCTTGACTGCCAGAGTGTGCGCTGAACTGTGAGCGCCTGAGTGTGGTGCCACTCAACATCCCGCAAGGTGAAGTAACCCTGTTAATGTAGCAACATGTCAATGACCTGCGCGACACTCATCTGCTGTCTCCTTTCCTCTAGATTGCGCCCAACTTGGCAACCCCATCAATTCTCCTGACCCGCCCTGAGTGCGACCCCTTGCGCTCAGCCTCACGCTGAGACCCCGGCTGAAAGTTCCCAGAGTGTTGCTCAAAGCAACCAGAATGGCCATGGTGAACACCGAGAGCAAGTACACGAACAGCAGCATCCCCAAGCCTCTTGCTCTGGCCCCTACAGATCTCAAAGCCATTGGGCAGCTGGCTTTGTTCCGAATCAACGTGCGCGAGTGTGCGGAATCGAACAATGAAGATAGGGTCCGATATGGGTGTGGGTCAAACATCGGTCTCCAAAACGGACTGAAACCTGCGGTTTTGCTGGTGGTCTAAGCATAACCAGATGTCTTCAATCAGCAGACTTGGGGGACGAAAGGCCATGTGGTTCTTTTCCGTTTCAGTCTGCCCACCTCCAACAACTCCAGCCGAAGATATGGCATAGGGCAGCGCCAGCACGCCGGAGCCCAGCACATTCTGTGTCAGAGTGGTCACTGCAGCCTGGGGCAACAGCTTTCGTGCGCTGTGTGCCACGTGGGGGTGGATCAAAAGGTATCTTACATGGTGCGACCGACCACTAGCGGAAGGAGAAAAAAAGAAAAGGAAAGAAAAAACAAAAACAACCATTAGAGAAACAAAACAAAAACAAAAAAAAACTTTAGGGGGAGAAAAAAAAAAGGAGGAAAAAAAACAAAAACGAAAAACAACCATTGGGGGGGGGGGGGGAAACAAAAACCATGACCTTCACCACTCAAGGGGAAGGTTACGTATGGTCATTGTCAGGCCAAAAGAAAGACAAACCCTCGTGTGTTTCTTGAAATGGAAAGGTGGAGTCAATGTCCAGTAAATTTCCACAGATGAAAGTAATCATCCCAAGGTGCCGAATCATTCCCGGACGAAGCTTCTTTGCACAAGTTTCTCAAACACGTTCTCTGAGACTTGTTTTAAAGAAAGTTCTCTGAACAAGATCTCTGGGCAAGCTTCTCTGAGTTGGATTCTCTGAGCAAGTATCTCTGAACTTGCTCTGAACAAGTTCAACTGAACAAGCTTCCCGAAAGAAGCTTCTTTGCGCAAGTTGCTCGAGCACGTTCTCTGAGAATTGCGTAAAGAAAATGCTCTAAGAAAGTTCTCTGGAAAAGTCTCTCAGACAAGTTTAACTCTGAGCAAGCCTTTCTGAGCAAGATGCTCTGAGCAAGTTTCTCTGGCCAAAGCCTCTGTGAGCAAGATGCTCTGTGCAAGTTTCTCTGGCCAAAGCCTCTCTGAGCACGATGCTCTGTGCAAGTTTCTCTGGCTAAAGCCTCTCTGAGCAAGATGCTCTGTGCAAGTTTCTCTGGCCAAAGCCTCTCTGAGCACGATGCTCTGTGCAAGTTTCTCTGGCCAAAGCCTCTCTGATCAAGATGCTCTGTGCAAGTTTCTCTGGCCAAAGCCTCTCTGAGCAAGATGCTCTGTGCAAGTTTCTCTGGCCAAAGCCTCTCTGAGCAATCCTCTCAGTCCATGTACAAGTTCTGTCTTTCCGAGTTGCCGTCTCCGAGAGCTTCTTCTCCGCTCGGGCTGGGCACTGCTCAGTGGCCAGGCACTCAGTCGATACATCCATGGCGCCGAATTGGGCGGGTTTCGGGTTTCGGGGTGGATGCCATGCACATGTGAGTATGGGAAAAAATTAAACAACCAGACCGCAGGTTTTGGTGCTTCTTTCCATTTACCAGGGTTCCATTTGGGGTACCTATTTTGGACCCACAGCCATGTCAATGTGTCTGTGAATTCGAATGAAACTGGAAAAGCCAAAGCAAAGCCAAGGCAAAAGGCAAGGGTAAGTTGCATTGCTGGAACGCAAAAGTGAACTCTGCGATATTCCTCGTGATCCACTATCATATGTTACAAGCGATCTATGAATCTCACGCATCCCACGCATGGAAAGCCCAATGTCTGCAAAAGCCCGCAACAATCGGCTTGCGTGGAGTGGGCGGTCTGGCTGTGCGTGGAGCCTGTTGTACAAACTCAAAGCTCATTCCAGCCCATCCTGTTCCTCTCCATGCAAATCCGAATGACATCATGCACGAGATCCATGCAGAAGCATCGTCTAGAAAGCAAAGTCTCAGTAGATGTCTGCATAGCTTGGACGAAGCCCCCAGCCCCCCCGTAGGGAAATCGCACTTGGCCAGGGTCAAATTTGCGGAAGCTGGATCTGGAAAAGTTTGAAAAACAAGCAATTCTGTAAGATAGGTTGAAGTAGCCTCTGGGACTCTTCCTTGAATCAAGACTCAAGACCAGCCTCTCCCGTGAAACACCAGAGAAAAAACAGGTGTATGCTGTACACTCCATCTCAGCAAATCTGGTCGTCCACCATTGCTTGCTGGCCGGTTCTGGCGAAATCGCCTGAGAGAATCAGCTTCCCAATGTCACCCAAAGAAAGGCAAGAGTTGTCCGTCGTTGCCGTCGCCAGCCTCACGAGTCGTCGTTGAGCATCATTGCCACACCCTGCAAGACCCAAATGCTGGGATGCTCCTCGTGGCAGGTGCACGTCCGCACACGTCAGGCGCCAGGGGTTCAGAAAGGGGCCAAATGATTGACAGCCCCCTATATGGATGTCTTGTTTTCAGGCTCGGGCAAAGGCGGAAGGAGGAAGGAAAAAGCCAAAGGACGACCAAAGGCAAACCAAAGGGAAACCCGCGGGACGACCATTTTGGGGTCCAAAAGTTTTGCTCGAGGCGCCCAGCCGTCTCGCAAATCGAATCAAAAGCACAGCTCCTTGGTGTGCAGGTTCGCCTCGAAGACGAGCCCAACCCCCATGGCATTCCGGCGCAGCTGGGTGATGTACACCTCAGTGAGAGTGCAGAAACTGGCCGTTGCAAAGGCACTGGCCCCCGGAAAAGTTCGGTCCTCCTTTGTGGCTTTAAAGGAAAACCAAAAGGATATCCGCCCACAGGGATTTCGGGGTTCGTTTCGGCCTCTGAGGAAGTTCCCCCGAACAGACTAGCCAAAGCCCGGCTAATTTGAGACATGGCCATGGGTCAAAACGCAAATCGTACCCCCAGTGAACATCCCAATCCCCACAAAAAAAAAAGGTGGTGCACCCACCAACCCCCAAAATGGGATCCCAAAACGGTTTTGACAACCACAGCCACATTGGTCGGATGAGTAATTCGCCTGCTCCTCTTGGCAATGGGAAACACCAGAGACCGCACGACCGTTTTCGGGCCGGTCGACGGCTGGACGGCTCAGCTTTGGCCACCGATCCATTCGAGGCAACGCATGGGAGGTCTAAGCAATATGGGAACATGATTCTAGGGGTACCTTCCATTTCCATTCTTAACCCAGGGATCCGGATCTTTTCAGCAAACCGTCAAAATCCCACGGGAAACAGCCGGTCTTTGCAAAGAACGATGATTGAAAAGAATGGTTGGAATCAACCCCTAGAATGATGATTGCGACACCTTTGGTCGCTTCACATGGCCTCACAGCGCGTGCACAGATTCCTGGTATCTAAGTGAAGCGTTAGTGGGCTGACGCCGACTCGCCATGCTGCGAATGGCCTTGGGATAGCATGAAGATTCTGCAACGCAACTCACAGATTCACGAGGCTGCCGCGTCTCATTTCCAGTATCTGGATGCTGTTGGGGTGATACACCAGAAAGATGACCTGAAGATAGCAATCCTGATAATGCTGCCCCCAATCAACCCCAGCTGATTCATAGGGAGGTGTTTTTGGGTTGAGTGGGGAATCAGATCACTTTTGGAGGGGCCCCCAGCCCATCACTAAGCTGCTGATCTTTTACTGGGGGGGTCAGCACTCTCACCCTCCCCCACACTAACATGGAAGCTCCCGAACGGGCCCTTAAGACTTGGTGTTCCATTTACAGACGCCAAGGGGGGGCTTCCGGCTGTTCGTCTGAGGGAGTGTCTTCTGAGATCTGGCCTTCATGAGGACGCCCATGAGTGCAAAGTTAAACTCGATGTTGCCAGCGCTGCCCAGGGCTTTGAACTGCCTGAAAGCCGTCGAGAAGGATTCCTCGTGCTCGCCTCGGGACCCCGTTTTTTAGCCGACGGCTTCAGGGCTTTGGCTGAAGGGGGCGTCGTTTGGCGAATTGGGCTGCATCTCATTTCAAGCACAAAGGATCAGTTGAGTCACAATCAAAACGCGGTGTTAAAATGGTCGGCCCAGCACCATGTAAAGAATTAAGTAGGCGGCCGCAGCTATTTATGGCTGGCATTGGCCCTTACTAACCTTCATCTACCCGGGTTTTGGTTGTGGTTCAGTTCGCTTAAACAAGCACTGGCCATGTTTTCGCCCAGAAGCGAGTTTCTTCGACCTTCAGTTCCTCAGAGTTGCACGCAAGAAGCGCTGGACATCCATTTTATCCATCAACAACATGCGTGCCAATGCTGCTACAATGATCTACGACGACATCTCCTGACTATGTTCTGGCTATGATGAGTACCAGCACAACTCAAGACCATTTCATGACGACCCTTCTGCTGACTTCAATCCTTCCCCAAGCAATCGCACAAATCAGCGTTGGTGACTTCAGTGCTACACGAGCCAGGAGCCAGGGTGCTGATTTGCGCTTCCGGGATTCGTTCTGATCCAAAGGTCTCTGGCACTTTGTGTCTGTTGGACCGCTAGACTTCGTGTCCCTATTCCCCTTCATTCAGGATCTGACGCCAAGTGTCAGTGGGAAAGTCTCGCCATCTTTGCTTCAGCTCGGTGCAGGTGACATCAGGTGGAAGGCTTGGCCGACGACCCTCACACAGCAAAAACAATTGTCGAAACTACGAAGCCATCTAATTGCTTGGCGTCTCTTTGCAGTATCCCTTTCGTCCAAACCTGAATTGCCCCATTCTCCCTTATCGTTGTCTAAAGATCCGATCAAAAAGTCCACGGCTCTCCCAGAACACATTAACAAAAATCCCAGGCTTGGAATTAAATTTGGGTGTGGCAATCAAAATTAAACGATCGGAGGGGCAATCAACGCAGGAGTTTCGGTACCCATGTTTCCACTTACCGCTCGGGGCGCAAGCAAGCCATGTTGGACATGTCCGGAACTTTTTGAAGTTGCCGCCACCTGAGCTTAGGCCCACATTTTTTTCAAGGTCCCATCTTGGACTTCCGGTTTTTTTTCGCCGCCGCCGCCGAAAAAGTCTCGCCCTTGCCGGCCCCCCCCGGCCGGCCCCTTGCCGGCGTCCGGCGGGATCTTGGAGCCGGTTTCAAGGGCCCCCCAAAACCCGGCGGAGGGGTCGGCTTTTGTCTCGGGAAGAATCTGAAACGGGTTGCCCTGAAGGCTTCCGTCTGAAACCAAGGGAAAGAGAAGTAGCCTCAGAAAAAAGTGTCTTCTTGCAGACTCAAATTGTTTTGACAAAAACTCAAGTGAACAGCGAAGTATTGTAATTCATCCAGGATGCGGATGACCTTACTGTCTAAATAGGGTGAATTTTGGCAGACATGACGACAGACTTCTGACTTGCGAGGCCAGGGAGCCCATTTTAGATCTGAATCTCTGTGCTCTTTGTGTGGCTCCTCGTGACCACCGTGGTGAAAGAGACGAGGAAGCTTGCAGTAGTGCGTCCTGTTGTCCTGAGCGCAAGAGCCAGCTGAGCCAGCTGGCTCTATGTGGGGAAGAAGAAAAAAAACGCCGCCAAGCGACGGTTGAAGAGACGGGGTTGGCTTGCATACATCGGTGATCTAAAGCGCACATCTGCCACAGCTCCTTTCCTGGAGAGACCGCCAAAAACTGCTCTTGACTCGCTGTATGCAGTCCTTCCGCGCTCACGTCTGGGAAGGAAGGGAAAGTGCAGCAGCCTGCGCCGCAAGCCACTTAAAGATGCAAGCTGAGACCATGTTCGCCTGGCAGTGCGGATGCCATTTCGCAGTCCTCTACCGACTGGTAATACATGAAGTTCTCGAAGGAAATCATCAACGCAAGCCTTACCGGGCCTATGATATGAATGAACCCTGGACTCAAGGCCAAAACTCCTAGCCGACTTGCGCCGCATGCAGCTACGCAGCCAAAGCAAGAAGCGGGTCCATCCCTGCATGGGCGGCTTCTTCCAGCATGCAAAGGTGAACACCGCCAGGCCCAATGAGGACACGTTGGAACAAACCTCCATTGCCCACGAGATGAGCATCCGCTCGGTCTAAGATGCGAAGGAACTTTCATCCCTTCCGCCCTTGCCCTTGTCCAAGCAAAATCTGATATCATAGTGTGGGTGGTTGCGAAATCCATTTCGCACCACTTGGAAACCATGATTGAAGCCAGAACGCTGGTTGGTGTTTACCGGGGAAGCAAATCATTCCAGGGTTTCTTCGGTGGTGCGAAACGGATTTCGTCCAGCCACAGCATCATGGAGACAAGCCGCATAATATTCAAAGGTCACTGCGATCTGGTGACCAGTTGATGCAATGAAAGTGGCTAGAATCACAAAGGAGTCAAAGTCGATGAACTTCCTGAGAAACGCTCGAAGCGAAGCGAATCAAACGTCTGCTGGAAGCAATATGGGTATGATTTTTTATTAGGGACCCGAAATGGTGGACATCGTGGTTGGGAGTTATGTCCACCACTTGTCAGGGGGTTCCTCATTAAAACTCATAGCCATACAACTGAGGATCATCACTGCTGGCAGCAGCATCCAGTCTGCATCGCTGCCCAACTCAATCGCTTCCTTGATTCAAGGCATCACAGATCTAGTCTTTGCGGAGCAAGACATCCGGCAAACCAGGTGGAATGAGGTCTGGTAAGCGCAGATACCAAAAAAAGTCAAGCCCTACATATGGCATGAGTTAAAACCATCCCCAACAGCCCTGCACAAAGGGTCCTAACGGAGCTCGCGGCCCGCAAACTGGTGCAAAGCAGAGTGCAAAGCTAGCTTCCGTGTAGTGTCGAAGCCCAACGGTCAGAAAAACCACGCCCATCACAAGATCCACCGCTGGCAGGAAGCACTCCCAGGCAGCCACAAGCATGAACCTTGGCTGCAGGTGTAACATTTCAACGGACGCGAATTCGCGAAAAAACTCGTGCATGTTGCATGAGTTGCATCTTGATTTAAGCCTCATTAAGCTCAGCTCTCCTGTGGCTGGCATATTGGCCAGTTGTGGCCAGAGCGGTTTCTCTGAACCAGCCAGGCGATGGTGACCATTCCGAACACGGCGAGGAATGCCTAGCGCGCGTTCATGCAGCATGCACGACACAGAACACCCGGACCCGCCAAGGACTCTATCAAACCAACGGCTCAGTCTATGGCCTATGGTGGTTCCCTAGGACCCATTATGACTTAATGATTTTTCAGGATCCTTACTTGTTCATCCCAAGGAAAGGGGTCTTTTGACCACGCACATGCAAGATGTGCTAGGATGTTATGTTCCCCCAGTATTGGATCTATGCTCCATTCAAGTGTATTTTTTGAGAATCCATGTTCAGGTAGGTGTGAAGGGGCCAACCATGCCAAGCGATTTTGAAGCATACGCCATGTGCCTTCTGAGTGCGGCTATTCATTCTGGGCTGAGTTGGAAGACCGGAAGACCGGCGCCTGCTTGCTCGCCACGCTCCACGGCATGTCGGGGCATTTCTGAAAGTGCTGCGCATGGCCCAGATGCATCGCACAAAGCCTTGGTTGCTGCTGACCCCGCTGCAAAAAGTTTAACTTTTTGGGGGTTTAGTGGAAAACCCCTTTCTTTCAACAAAAAGGTGTTTAGTCTAAAGATCCAACCCAATGGCAGTCAAGAAGCATGCACACTCCGTGGGTGGCAAAGAGCCTCAGCCGTCATGACTTGAGTCGAGCGCGGAATTTCTTTTTTGGCCAAGCAACTGAGATGCGCCCATGCAGAATCGCAAGAACTTGTAGTAGCCGATGCCGTCCTAAAGCTCACTGGAGACTACCGTTCGCATGCAGACATCTTCGCCACGCCCGTCCTGCAACTGAAACTGCGAGTATCGCATCCTTGCCTCCTGCTGCACCAGAAACTCCAGCGCCATCGATACAGCCAAGCATAGGGTGGCAAATTGGAAGACTACTGCATATCCTTACATCTGGCTGTGGTCAAAACTGGTACCCACAAAATGGGTGGCGCCCTGGTACATGGAAACAAGGACTACAGCCTGCGGTCCAATTCCTGGTGGTTGAAATTCTGACCCATACCCATCTGCTGACGGAAAGAGTTGGAGCAATCCAGTTGGGAGTCCGGCTCTCGGTCGCACTCCATTCCCCAAGGTGACACACAGGAAGCCCACCATCAGCACTCCTTACATGAAAGAGAACAACAACAAAAAAACATAAGCTCCTAAGCTGGCCTCAGAAAACAAAAAGCTGCGGTTGCTGCTGCTCCTGAATACATGCCAACCACTCCGGCAGTCAACATATAGGCATCCTCCCGCAGCCCTCCCAGCAAGTCCTCGGCAACCAAAAGGTAGCCGGCAGCGGCAGGCAGCCGAAAAACCGCCGGGGGGGGGGGGGGGAGTTCTCAAACTTGAGTAATGTTGACCCCATATTCATCAACCCCAGGTTGTTAATAGGGGGGTGTTTTCCTCCAACAGTGATGATTCCCCACTAACCCAGAAACACCCCCTTATTAATAAACTGGGGTTGATTAATAGGAGGTCAACATTACCCTTTTTGGGCCACGGTTGAGGTGGGGCCGGCCTGTGAAAGAAGCAAAAAATCGAGATGTTTGACAGCGTACGGCATCTCCATCCTCGTAATGGAGCACGGAAAACCAATGCCAATAAAGCGTGCGTCAATATGTTTGTGACGCATCGTGATGTGGACATCAGCCAGCATAGGCTGCAATATGCAGTAAAGAGAGCCAACCAAGGCCAGCAGCAAGTGGTCTACGAAGAAAGTTGACAACCATCGCTCCTCGCAACCAGGTGAGAGGTCTAGGTGAAACGTGTTGGGCACTTAAAACAAAGATCTGCATTGTCAATGGACAAATCTTGACAGTCCTGGTAGGGGTGGCAGAATATGCGACAAAACTGTCTTCCTTACACGCTGTGCACTGAGCTGGTTTGATACAATGTCACACCGAGTAAGTGCAAGCGACCAATAACCACGCTTGCCAAGAGTGTGCGAACTCTCTGAGCAAGAACTTGCTTGTTCTCAAAAGCAGCAGCAGAAATCAGCAGAGACGGAGACAGAGAGACAGAGAGAGGGAGTGAGACGTGTTTAAAGAAAGGAAGCAATCATGAAAAGTGAAGAAACAAATAAACAAATAAAGAAAGATTCAAAGAAAGAAAGAAAGAAAGAAAGAAACAAAGAAGAAAACAAAAGAAGGAAAGAAAAAAGAAAGATTGGAAGAAAGGAAGGAAGGAAGAAAGGAAGGAAGGAAGAAAGGAAGAAAGGAGGAAAGGAAGAAAGGAAGAAAGGAGGAAAGGAAGAAAGGACGAAAGGAAGAAAGGAGGAAAGGAAGAAAGGAAGAAAGGAAGAAAGGAGGAAAGGAAGAAATGAAGAAAGGAAGAAAGAAACAAGGAAACGAAGGAACAACAACAGCAAGAAAGGAAGAAAAGAGACATGAAGAAAGGAAGAAAGGAAGACACAAAGACAGAAAGGAGTCAGGAAGAAAGGAAGAAGGAAACAATCTAAGAAAGAAAGGAAGAAAGGAGACAGAAATGAAGCAAGGAAAGAAAGGAAGGAAGAAAGGAAGGGGAAAAAGGATAGAGGAAGAACGAAAGCAAGGAGAAAAGGATGAACGGAAGCAAGGAAGAAACGCAGAAAAAACAGTGAAGAAAGGAAGAAAGGAAGAAAGAAAGAAAGAAAGAAAGAAAGACAGAAAGAAAGAAAGACAGAAAGAAAGAAAGAAAGAAAGAAAGAAAGGAATAGACACAGAAACCTTTCAAAGAATATGTGGCGCAGACAGCCGCTCACTATTTTACCATGTGTCTTGAGCCAAAATGGCCCGTCCATGTAGACCTGTGGGGGGCCCGGTTTCTAAAGTGTCTCCAGGTGTTTTTCATGTCTCTGCCAACCGGTTTGGTACACAAACCGGCAACCTTGTGTCTCGCGTTCACTTGAACAATCTTCAAAGCATTGGAACCAGCTCTTTCTTGGGTCCAAAGGTATCCAGTCTGTGGCTTGCCAAACCCTCTTCGACTTGCTGTGCCTCTGGCAGCTGCGAATCAGTCGGGACTACTAACAGTGACTGGATGCTTTAACCTACCCGTGCTAGGGCATAGTACTCGGATTCTCCACTGCTGAGCGCAATGGCGGATTGCAAAGTTGATCCGCGCTTTACACAACGCTGCCGAAAGCAAGCTGCATAGCCAGCTGTGCTCTTTCGAGTAGCGACACAGCCGGCGTGGTCTGAATCACCAAATATTCGCAGAACGTTCCCTCTTTGCTGGGGTTGAAAACATTCACAACCCTAGGCCTTGCAAGAAGATAATGCCCTAACCTTTTTATGCTCTGCATGTCTGCCTGATTCGGTCCTTTCACCTTTCGAGTTAAAGACTTCACCGCCTCACTCATGTCTGCTCGACCTTGTGCAAGAAATTGGGCTCGCACGGTCAGTGATCTGAAAGTGTGGATTGTTCTGGGGGTGGAGCCAGCAAACCAGTTTCCGCTTATGCGTCTGGCGCCTTCTTCTTTTCCGCAGGGGTAGTCATATCTTTTGCGCCTTCCAATCCGAGTTGACGAATGATCATCTCACCGTGCTGCGGGTCCGCCTCACTTGCCACCGCACCAGTTCGTTGGGCGTCTTGTATGATTCGGTTCAACATTCGATCGAATGATTCCGTCGCATCTGAACTCATCTTCTCGCTGAGGGTCTTCTTGATGTGATCTTGTCCATCATCATCACCCAAAACGAAAAAGTCATCACCATGAACTAAACGCTTGACATCATAGTTCTTGCGCTTGAAAACCGATGTCCAAGCCTTACCTGCTTGTAGTGCAATGGGTCAACAAATCCTTCTGCCAAACATTCGATGCATCTGGCGCGCCACACCTCGTCTTCAACCAGATTGCACAATGTCCGTCTTCTTCCTCGCCGGAAGGTAGAGTTACATAGACCTTTCTTTGGCTCTATCCATAGAAATGTGCTCTGCTAATGTCATAGAGCGCCAACCTCATGGGTTTACCATTTCTGCTCCTTCTTCATTGCAAGACCCGAACACAATGTCTTGAGCGCCTTCCACATGTCGTCGGTGTACTCCTCGAAGTCATATTCTTCGTCTGGGCTCTGTCCTCCATCTAGCGAGTGGATATCTCTGCGCTCGCCGTCCTTCTCCATATGCTTCTTGGTTCCCTTCAGACCATTAACCAAATGAACATGTCGACGCCACTCTTTTCCACCAGACTCATCGCTGCAATTTTGCTGCAAAACCTCTGCTACAACACGACTGTTGGTCATCCATCTTGTCGGCTTCTTGATATACCCTTGTCCAAGCGCGTCTCATCCCATCATCTTCCATCTGCACATGGGTTTTTCAACAATCATCACTCCGGGAAAGTTCTCAACCTCCTTTCACGCACTCTTCTTTCCACGATGTTGCATTCTTCAGGCGTTCATCAAGAAAGCGTCGCTTCTTGTCGATCTGCTTCGTGTAGAGCTCGCAAGCCACCTTCAGCGTCGCGCGACCTGCTCTTTTTCCACCTTGCACTGCTGGAAGAGAATTGCACGAAGGACTGCCAACCACAAGGTACGGGTCATCCATCTCAATGATGCCCTTCAACCTACGTACATGTGCGTAGCAAACCCCAGCCTGTCTCTAGATTAATTGCATGGCCAGGTAGTAGACCGAAACCTCTGCGTTTTTCTGTCAACCTAGGCGGAGAGAAATCTCTGTGACATCATGGGCTCGAGTCGGCTCGAGCCATCAGATCATGCTCCATGTTCTCACCGTTCACATTCGCCACAGCTACTGAAAACTGGAACAAGGATTGATCCTGATGATGCGATCCGCCTCAAGCGCACCTAACTCGAAGACCTTGTTTCTGCTTCCGGTTCTGCTGATGTCGCTGTTGGATATTCGAATTCCTCCATGTTGTTGATGCCTCTCCCCTTACTTGGACATCCGGAACCTGTTCCCTTCGACTTCGACTTGCCGACTTGCCTTTGTCGTTGCCTTTTTCTTCCCTTTGGAGCTGCCTTTCTTGCCTTTGCCTTTGCCCTTGCCGAACGCGGCGATGCCCCTGTCGTCTTTTTCTCTGGTTTTGCAGCTCAGTGGCTCTAGTCTTCAGGTAAGCACTCAACTCCGCGCGCTTATCCTCGAAGTCGTGAAGCCTAGAGCGCTTGAGCTGAAGATGTCGTTCGATTTCTGGGGGGCACATTCCTTCTAAGATGGACATCTTTATACCGTTCGGGATCTTCTGTCTGTTTTTCGCTGGCATCTTTCCTGTTCACATAGCGATTGACCAGTTCTTGCCATCCTAAATTCTTTCGCTGAACTCATCGAGCTTGCGCTTTCCAGGGCAGTGGCGCTGATTTCTTTGCGCCACTGACAGGGTCGCGTCTTTTGACGAGTTTTCGCCAGCCTTCAAGACCATTTCCTTTGTCTGTGTTTCTGATGATCATGAAAGCCTCTCCTTCCAGTAGGTTTTGAAGAACACCGTACAATTGGGCCGATTTGTCTGTCAAGCGATCCACCTTTCCGACCGTTCCTACGCCGAAATCGGTGTGGGCCCGAGTCATGTCGATGGAGCTCTCTTCTTCTTCTGCTCAATTCATGACTGCTTCCATTTCTGGGAATATCGAGAACATGAACGCCTCCAACTCAATCTTCCATCGGAGGAAATGCTCTTCATCTTTCCCGGCGAACTTTTCGGGTTTCCCAATACCACGGTCGATAAGGACACCTTCCTTTCTCGCCCTTTGTGAAAGCTGCGACCAACTCCGCTTGAATCATGTTCTCAGTTGCACCGCCTGATCCAGCTGCTTGTCCGGCTGCTTGTTGTTAAGCAACTGCATCCATCTGAGCTACGGGTAGAAGTCGTTGTTCACGTCCTCCACTGGCCCGGAGTGCCTCGCTGAACCTTTGCAGTTGTTGTTGCATACGCGGCAACTGCTGTTCAAGCGCCATCGGCTCACTTTTCACACAAAGGAACCCTAGACTAGGAGCCGCAGCTGCTGCGGCTCCGCTACGTTCAAAGAATATGTGCAGACATGTGGGACCTATCAAGGACCTGGTATGTCAACGGAAACTAAGTAAACTAGAAAGGTGAATTTTGGATAAAGAAAAATGAAAAAATAAAGAAATAAATGAAGGAAATAAAGGAAAAGGAAAAAGTTACGTGTAAAATG